GAGCACGTGGTAAATCAGCGCTTAAAATTGCAATTAACAACTTCGTTGGTGCCGGCGGGGATCGAACCCGGGTTACTCGCGTTATGTTATATTTACAGCGAGCGTTAACCATCTGAGCTACCACGGCTGTTTGCGATACCATATACGAGTACGAAACTTTGCATAATACATATTTCGCAGACAAGTACCATAGTTACCCTCTCACAACAAACAAACGTATACCAACGTAAAATAGCAGCTTAATACTGCTGTGTTTCGTATGGTGAGTGAGGAGATCCGGAGACCTTTTTTACTGTAAACGAGGCATTCCATCTTAGTCCTCAAGGGTGACAATGCATCTACGTTTTGATTCTTAATCGTAAATGTAGATGTCTATGGGCCACATCATCCACTCACCATCAGGTGGACTGTGTGCTCGCTAGTCACCATTATTCTATTTTAAAAAAAATAGCCGTCTCGTTGTATGTAATTATTAAGGTGACCATGCCACGTAATGTCTGTGCTTAATTATGCGCTATGTGCTATACTATATAAATGTATGCATGTTGGCATGATCTTGACATAACTCTCTAAGTGCATACTGCATGTCTGAGGAATAAGAAAAAAATATTTCGAAGACATGTGAACAATGTTGACAATTCCTTGCCCCAAAAACCTTCTCAGAAATGAGGGGAGGCCGGTTCCCAGCTGTGGGACGTATATTGGCTGTAACTTTACTTTTACTTTATATGGTATCGCATGAAAAGCATAAATGTAGGCATTCTACAAACTCATATTGGTGTCAACGGTGATGCGGTGATCGAAATATATTTGCTCACGTATTGTATAAATATGGTGAACGCCCAGCTTTTGATCTACGCTATACAGTTGTTTTTATTATCTTTAAATTAATAGTCTTTTCTTTTAATTCTTTTCTTTCAATTAATCTTTATTTAAATCATCCCAGGGTTAACTAGTAGAGAGTGAATGAAATGACTAGTAAAAAAGGCGTTCTTTACTCGACACTCACCTTATATGAAATATAATATAAGCGTTATCGGAGATTTAGATTTATTTTGTGTGAATTTGAGTTGGTGGCCCTGGATGGTTTCAAAACTCAATTGGACCCCAGTAGGTGGCGCTGTTGTTGGGATCCAGAAATCACCCGTGCAAAGTCGGAGCGGATCGCTAGTATTGAAATACAGCAATATTAAGTTGATTATTATCTATTTATCGTTATACCTTATTAAATACGATGAAGCAGGTTTGCAATTAGATTCCGAACACGAGGAAGGTAACCTGATCTATGTGTACTTTTTGAAGTAAAAACTACTGTAGAATTGCTGTGATATGAAATTCGAAACGTATAAGCAACAAAAAGAGACAAACATCCATTTAGCCTGCGAGAGAGTGAGATAGAATACAGTGAATCTCGGTTTCCTTTTCTGAAGAATTGAAGGTTTCATTTCTACCGCGTGTGAACTGCACACATGTTTTTTTTTTTTTAAATATAATGGTGCGACTACGCAGTATAGAATAGAATCATTTATATTCAGAATATATTACAAGATTGAAAGTTGTTTGAGCATTACTACCACTGGTTCGGATAAAACCTCTGTACCAGGAATTCACCAAGTAAGAACTTAAAAAAATATTTTAGAATATAATATTGTGTATATACAATTAAGTATGAAAACGTTTAGAAATAGCATGGTAGCGATCTCCTCATTCTCAAGGGTTGTTATCAATTAATCATGTACTCATTAGTCAGTAGCGGTCGGAGCTGAATCTGAGTGACAGGATGAGAAATGGTGTGATAAGAGAAGAGTGTGGTCTACAAGTTGATGTTGTGACTAGGATTAAGAAAGGAATGCTTCGGTGATTTGGTCATGTGGAAATAATGAATGAGGAAAGAGTGACAAAGAAAATTAATGTTGCAGAAGTGAACGGCAGAGTCGGAAAGGGACGTCCTAGGCGAAAGTTTATCGACCAAATTGGCGATATATTGAAAACGAGCCAATATTGGAATACCCTTAACTGACGAGCATGTATGCGTAGAGATATATGAATGTGGAGGAGGCGAGAGAGGTGTGTCAGGATCGTGCCAAATGGAAGTCTGTAGTCTCTGCCTACCCTTCTGGGTGACAGGCGTGAGTGTTTATGTTGTGTATGTATGTCTTTAGTAGTATAATGACTAGACTTGCAAATAATAGTATATTCGGCCATACGCCGAATACCGAATATTATGTGGGCTTCTTGGCTGAATAGCTACAAGCTACGTTCACATATTACACCCTATTTTTTCCAAACGGTAAAAAAGGTCATCCAGTATATTTATAAAATATTTTTTTTATTTTACCAATTGTCTGACTACAACAAAATATCTCACTTAAGTTCAGAAAATTGCCGAATATCCGTTGCAAGTCTCTAATAATAATCCCTACAAAATTTTTGCTTAATAAAAGTAAATAGATAAGTCCTGTATATATTCTGGTACCTGGTGTACACAGTCCATCTGATAAGTGTGTGCTGTGACCCATAGATTTCTTCATCTATCCTCGATTATGAATTAAAATTCAGATGCGTTTTCACCCCTGAGGACAAAAATAGATTGTCTCTTTACGTGTCTTCGGTTCTCTACACTGACCATACGAAACACAGCAGCGTTAACATTAAGCAGCTCGTATTTCGTGATTAGTGCCGACTGCCGACCCATTCGTAGTAAAACCGTAATCAAGTTGTAGCATGACTACGTATAAAAGTACGTACTTTAAGTCATACGTTAAAAAAACCCAGTGTGATATACGATGTGCAAACCAGTATACTATCGCTTCCACAAGCTGTGCACGAGCGACGCGCGAGGATGCGTGACTTGATAACTTGATATTAACATGATAAGGTTATTTTTCAACTAAAAACTAAGCTCGTTTACGTACGTGGTGGAGCAATTGTTTTTTAAAAACAAGTGATAAACTAAACATGTAGTTCACATGATGGTAAATGGCTACCGTAGCGTATTAGGATACAGAAATAAGTTAGAGAGTCGTATACCTACCTGGATGGAGCCATGGTAGCTTAGATGGTTAGCGCTCGCTGTAAAGCCACATTACGCGAGCAGCCCAGGTTCAATCCCCGCTGGCACCACTAAAATTGTAAATTGCAATTTTAAGTGCTGATTTACCACGTGCTCGGCGGTGAAGGGAAACATCGTAAGGAAATCTGCTTGTCCGAGAATTAAAAAAATATTTCGAAGACATGTGTAGTTCGCCAACACGCATTGAGGCAGCGCGGCGCACACTACCTTGCCCTAAAACCCACTCAGAAATGAGAGGAGGCCTGTGTCCAGCAGTAAGACGTATGTAGGCTGTAACTTTAACTTACCTAGACGGACTCCAAGACATGGAAGGGGTCCTATCTGGTAGATGAAATGCAATTACATTGCTCGGCTTCGGTTCCTCCACAGAAAGAACACGCTCTCACAGAATTCTATCCTAAAATAGCACCTAAGTGCTACTATGTTTCGTATGCTGAAAACCGAAGACTACTAGGTTTGCCAGATCGGAAGACCAAAATATCTGGAAAATTTTTGAATATCTCGGGATTTTGACGTTGTTGTCGGAAGAAGTAAATGTTGAAAATAAATAGTTTATTTTTTGAGAGGAAGCCACAAGAAGTACCTTTAAACAAAACTCATTTAAGTACACCTTATTTTTAGGTTGCCACATTTATTTGGCATTGAGACTTTAAGAGTCCATCAATTTGGATCCTTTAGTGGTATTCAGAAAATATTTAAAATTCTAACAATTCAATTCAAAGTTCAGTCTAATTACTAGCTTTTATTACCTAAATCAAAGGCCGTAAGTTAACTTTCAGAGAAACTGTTTGTCTGGAGATTTGAGTTTTGTCAGGAATATGGAGATAATTTGAAATGTCGGAAGAATCCTAACGAATCTCGACCATCTGGCAACCCTTGAAAACAGTTTACTGGAAACGAGGCATTCTATCTTAGTCCTCAGGGATTACGAACCAGTTTTTTTATCATATAAACCTATTTATAATTTGTACTTATCTGTATACCTGTCTCTTACTATTATCATTGTATAAAAACATACACGAGTAACTTTAAGCATTTCATAAATTAATATCAATTTTTGGCTAAGAGAATTTAAAATATTAAACACACCGGCATTCATTCATCTTGTCCGCGTAACAGTGACAACGAAACAGGCTGTGTTCATTACTTTGCGGGTACCCGCAAAACAGTATACACACACATAACGACAAAACAAAATACACTATCGATAACGCTTACCGACAACAATAATGCACATCACTATACTCGCCCCTAAGACCTGTTAGTGGGAGAGAGAGCAAAATACTCGATGATTTATGACCCAAACTGCACGGACAAAATAATTCTAGTATAGTTCGTCTGATGCATTAATATTGTAAAAAAAACTTTCTTAACGGGGTTGGCAAATAATTTTTAATTGTTACTAATAAACATGTTTAATTTTCGCAAATTATATGTTGTAAAATGTTTACAGGTTATTTCTGAGTTATATATATAACGTACAAAACCCTATCAAGCGGCCTCATATCTCCTAGTGAGACATAAAAGTAGTATAAAGGGCTCACGTCCAGTGTATACTAAAGGGGCCTGGGTTTGAGACCGTGGCGTTTTGATAATAATAAAAGCTATTGTAGTGTGACTGACTCTCGCTGTCAGTGAGATCAGCTACTGGGCCTACAGCAGTGCTCAACCACCGCTGTAAGTATCTGACTGTGTTGACTCGTTGAAGGGTGGCTGGGCAATTGTCTTTCAACAAGACATTGAACCTGGTAACCTTTTGAGAATATCCTAAACTCATTCCTTGCATTCTCTATCCTTTAAATATTTTGAATCTCAAAAATCCTTTTGAAAGTATCAACTCTGGTGCCTTTTAAGTCAGCCTGAATTTTCAAGGTTAAACTCGTTATCGAATTATCTATCCTCCGTCCATTCTTACCCAAGCTCTGTTATGGAACCCAACCACAGTGCACCAATCTCCCAACCTACTGCCGAACAGCACTCCGTGGCCCCCCAAGGCCGCCCAGTGCTAACCGGCGTCAAATTGTCAGGTACTAGGCCTCGTCGCCCGGTCGCTCGGACCGTCGGGTCGAGCAGAGGGGGGATCGGCGCGAGCAATCCAAGAGGACCTGTCGGCCACTGCTTTGCTCCAGCGCACGCTTCGGTGAGTTACCTTCTTCATCACCAATCAGTAATATACCACTTTTTTGACCTGGATTGCGTAGTGGCGTGGCGGTGTATAAAATATCCACTAGCCCATATCATACCGCTGCGTGTCGTAAGAGGCGACAGAAGGAAACTAATCAGGATATGGACAGCAACGCCTTCCTAATAACGACTAAAAATAAACTGCGACTGCCCACCCGTTTGCCAAGCGTGCCAACTCTGCCAAATATCCCCCCCCCCAATGAGGCTATCTATGCGGGTTGGTCTGTCTTTTGCTCTAACCATACGGATTAGCAAAGGCCGATTTACACTTCGACAAGTACAGTGGCGAGTTAACTTGCGAACTTGGCGAGTTAAGTAGAAAATTTCGTTTGAACGTCAATTAGTGAGTTACGTAGCCGGGATAGCCGGCCGGTCTATTTTTTCGTCGAGTTAAGTTCCAAGTGTTGCCCTCCCGCACCCACAACTAAACTCGCCGCTCGTGTAAACGAGCGCGTCTAGTTCAGTGCATAAGTTAACAGGACGCAATGTGTTCGCGTTCGACACTCAAAGTACAAAATTGTACTTTTTTTAACTAAATTCGCCACGAAGACATTTGAACGGCCACTGTCCACTTAACCGTTTACTGTCAACTGCCCTGTAACTACACTCGCTGCTGTAATTGTCGAAGTGTAAATCGGCTATAAGCTCAAGTGGCAATATAGCACGAAAAACCTACAACTGAAGGTTCTCGTGTAGCAACTGTAAGCGTACCGGTAAGCGAAGTGATAGCGGATACCCCACTAGATAGAGTGACGACCTGATAAAATATGTAAGTGGCTCAGGACCGTGCCTTAGGGGAGGCGTTTAGCAAAAGACTCGTGAAGGGATGTTAATGATGATGATTATGATGAAGATGATGTAGATTTCCTATAATAGTCACGTTTTTCGGGCGAATTTACGAACGAAGTGTCACATGTCTTGATATCTTTGACGTCGCAGTACTTCACCGGTCTGATTATTTTACGTCTAGCATAAACCAGATGGTCATATTTCTATTTAAAGTAAGCTATATTTGCATTTTACTGGCATTTACCATAGTCTTCTTTATTGTGAAGTGCCGATACGCGGCGGGCGTGAGTAGGTTATTTTCAAAAATGCTATCTGTTTCACATCGCTCGCTCCGTATCGCCGTCGTGCGATAGAGAGTTGCAAAGTTTGGAAGCTTGGAAGTAATTGCCTATATTTTCTTTTTAAAAAAACCTTTACGAAATGAGACAATTTTAGTTTTTTTTAGATTCAGTATACCTTAATTTAGGTCTGTAAGTTTTTTTAGTAATTACTAAAAACTGAACTGAATTCAGTTTAACTTAATTTAAAAAAAAACGCTCGAGGAAGTTTTTAAGTCAAAAACATAGACATTTAGATGCTAATAACTTATATCGTAAGCAATATTTCCATAAAATAAAAACGTACGAACCTAGTTTTTAATTACCTATATCTACAACATTTCCAAAAATTATGAAAATTAGACTATGTTTACGGGAGGGAAAACGTTATCGCTTTTTGTATAAAAATTTACAGCTTCACAATCCTTTAATGACATCCACGGGACGAAATGGAGTAGGTTTTTCATGGCAATCTATCTTCGTCTATACTATAATAAAACTAATACGTCTGTCTGAACACGCATCATGCAAAGACTTGTGAACAGATTTGGATAGATAGGACTTTCACTGGTAGATAGCTAATGTTATAAGGAGTAACTTAGACTACTTTAATTTTAGGGTTCCGAAAATAATCGCGTGGAACAGCTAGTACTTAAATATATCTATCTACTAAACTACAAATGGAATTCTATATAAAAAGTTACAATAATTAATTAATAAACGTTTTGTAACTCAAGACTCCATAAAATGATCACCTCAATGTCAGATGATCGACCTACATTAAAGGATTGGTTTCAATTGCCAGCACAATGATCTTGATCTCAATAGAACGAACTAATAATGATCAATTTAATGTCATGAAAAATATTTGCTCTTAATGAAAACGTGAAAATATAGCCATGGTAGCTCAGGGCGTGAGCGTTGTGCTTAAACGTTCATAGAACGACAGCAAAGCGAATTCGATTCCCACCGACATGACTGAAAACGTTGTCGAGGAGTCCGTCTGGCTAAGTAAGCAACATTATCTTGCCCAGTACCACCACAAAATAGCTGTGCTACTGGGTTCCGGTACTGAAGGCTATATAGAGATGCTGCGCTGGGGGTCGCGGGTTCGAATCCAGCACGGAACAAGTATTTGTATGGCCTACAAATAATTGTTCCGGGTCTGGATGTTTGTTGTCCTTGTGCAATTTATGTTTGTAAACTGCCCCCACGATACAGGAGAAAATAATAGTGTAGGGGTAACGTTTTTTAACCCGGCGAGCATGAGCCAGGGTATCACACACCCTGATAAAATTTCAAGGTGGTGTATTTTTTAAAATCCTCGCCTGGAAACTCTAACTCCCTCTGTAGCTGGAGTGCTGGGCGCGTGGGGCGGGTTAGTAGCGTGATCGCAGTGTGGCGTGGGACACCGGCCGTAATATTCGTGGGCAAACCTGTCTCGGGTATGTTATACCCTGCCTCATTTTTGACGTATTTTTTTTACGTAATGATTTGATCATGAATTATGATTCTTTTATTAGTTTTTTCTTTGATGATTTTAGTATATAAATTTGTAGTTCATTCATTTATACTGAGTTATATTAGTCGCAACAGTAAACGATGGGCTACGACTTTATTCTATGGTGTCTTGAACATGGCAGCTATCAATGCTTGCGTTATATTTATATCGAGCAAACAAAAACTTCACAATTAAGAGAACGGAATTCATTCGTAATTTTATTTTTTTTCGTGATTAATATTTTTTTTAATTCGTGATTTACGAACACCTACATTTAAGAAAATCAAAAAAGCATATTCTAAGCTACATCCGCCAGCGAATGCTTGTGCCAAGCCCATATGTATGGAGCACGCAAAATTTATTTGCGAAAATTGTGCTGATCTCGACAGTGGTGATTAATCATAATTTTTAATTAAAAAAAATTATAATACGTTTTTTACAAGGAGGATCTTACTATGTTTTAATTTTAAGTTGATTTACACTCCAAAGAATAATGTTTTTGTTAAATTATACATTTTTGTAAGTCCTTAAACTTTTGTTTTTTTTTAATTACAAAGTTTATGAAAAACATGATTATATAATAATAATTTCACAATTAAGAACTTGTTTCATTTAATTCTATTAAATCATTCATTATTTTATATAATAAAATCATCAAAGTAAAAATAATAATAATAAGAACTTAAATATGGTACATTAAATTATGGGTCCCCTGCCACATTCTCGATGTAACTTTTTTAACCTCATGCTCGCCGGGTTAAAAAAGAAAAAAAAGAGAGCCAGTTCATGTTGTAGGGCATTCCATCTTAGTCCTTAGGTGTGACAATACATCGTAATCGCACGAGAACAAAAAAAATAGAGATGGGCCGAATATTCGTTTTATATTTGGCATTCGGCATATTCGGCAGCTTTAACAAATATTCGTATTCGGCCGAATATTCGGCTAAATCACCGAACATTTGTTAAAGTGGTACCCTAAGATCACTGTATTGATGGACACACTGTATTGAAATATACGAATTGAGTAATGCCATGTCTTTTACCGTTGAAAGTAAATTCTATTTATGGGTTAAATGTTAAATCTGCTTGTATAGTTTTATGTTTTTGAGGGCATGTAGATTTATTTCCAATTATAGCAAATAGAAAGCTTGATAAAATGTTTTGGAATCAAACAAAAAAACATTACAGTAGTACATTTCACTTTACTTTGGCTGTCAGTTTCTTTAAAATAAGTCTAAATAGATCTACTATTTGTCTTTGTATCCTGCCACTCATTTTTATCATATAATTATCAATTTTCATTAAGAACAACACAACCAAATCCTTTTTTTCTCACAAAAATGGTCAAAACATAAGCCGGCAATTTGTTCATAACTGTGTAGTGAGGGGCAAGGTTAGTGCGCTCAACTCGCGCGCTTTACGTACACAAGTTTCGACATATTAAATTGGTTAGGTACAGAGGTGATGCTGCCGAAAAAAGTACGGCCGAATATTCGGTTCGCTAAAAGTTTTACCGAACTTTCGGCCGAATATTCGTATTCGGTATAAGCAATATGTTGCCCATCCCTACAAAAAATACACGAAAAAAAAATTAAACATATTAATGATGTTTGTCAACTCGCATTAGGGCAGTGCGAAGACCCCGCGTACTTTTTAGGACGATAACTTTCTTATTTTTAACTTTATTTATAATCAAGTAGTCACAATATTTTAATTCTCCGTTCTTCCAGATCTTAGCGAAGTAGTTTAAACAACACTAAACATACTTCTAGGTATCTAATAATAAACGTTTATAAAAAAAATAGCCACAAAGAAAAATAGCATACGAATTATAATTTATATATATATATTAATAAATGTTTTTTATAACTGTTAAATTGTGTATTAGGTCAGTTAGAGGTTTTACCGTCAGAAGCGTTACACGTGTGTGCGTGAACTTATGCGTGTGAGGTGTCGTCTCTGTTTATTATCTAGTACCCGGATGACCGAGCTTTGCTCGGTTTTTTTTTGGAAATTACATTTAGATCAAATTACATACTGATGAATAATATTTATTGATCTTATTGACATAATAGAAAAAACTGAACTGGTTATTTGAATTAAAAATCATGAGTGCAATTAGTTTAATAAAAATTTACGCATTAAAAAAAAACACTAAAAAGAAAGGGCTCGAAATAATAGATTTTCTCACAAAAGATGAGAACTTGAAAAAAAAAAGGAAAAAATCGAACCGAAGACGGGACGCGAACCAAGGCATTACGATTTCGCGAGCGCTCGATATTGACTTGACTGTTACGATCATTAGCACAGCGTCAAAATTTACCTTCTTATATTGTAGCAGTTTTTCATTGCCAGAAAACACGGATAAAAAGACATTTTATAAAAATGAATCCTAGCTAGATCGATTTATTAGCTACTAGCCCCCGAAACTCCCCGGACACTAAATTTTATGAAAATCGTTGGAGCCGTTTCCGAGGTTCAGATTATATATATATAAGAATTGCTCGTTTAAAGGTATAGGATGTGTTTATAATAAATATTTGTGTGTGTAAAGGTGCCGATTCACCCGCCGCTCGAAACGCCCAGCCCGACCATGTCGAGAGCGGGCGCGAGGCACCCGGATGCTGACGAGCACCGGCCGAGCTCCTCCACGGCGCCGCAGCACGACGACGGCGAGGTGCAGCAGCTGTACGCGACGCTCAACGAGTACCTCCAGCTCGAGCACAAGTTCCAGCCGCGCCTGTGTCTCCCGGACGACTCAGAGGTGAGTTCTCTTATATGTGGTTTACATTAAATGAAAAAATATCGATTTTATTGCGGCTAATTTTAATTTTTTTTTGCGTGGTAGAACCGCGCTGCAGCTATATTAATTGTATAGTTGTAGCACGAATGGGTCGGCTCGACCGGGGAAGCACCACGCTCTCACAGAATACCAGCGTCAAATAGCAGCTTAATGCTGCTGCTTTTCGTATGGTGAGCGTAGAGAACCGGAGATACATTTTCACTGGAAAAGAGGCGTTCCATCTTAGCCTTGAGGACTAAGACATTTTGATTCGCAACGAGGATAGATGTAGATGTTTATGGGCCACAGCAACCACTTACCATCAGATGGACTGTGTGCTCGCTTGTCACCCTATCCTATAAAAAAAATCTCGACGTTTTGGGCGCTTTACATTGGGAGGGTAGAGAGGGGATAAGGTGTTTGTCGTCCCGATGTCATAGTTAGACATTCAGGTTTTGAATGTGAGCCTTTGGTCTGATCTATGTAGAACGAGCTTACAGTACCTGGAACTACCGTCACCATGGGTGCTGTAAATAGGCTTGCCAACTCCAAAAAAGGCATTTCCGGGATTACCCAGCTCGACATCCGGGACTTGGGTATATTACGCGGGACACAACACACCACATACAAAAAAACACTATATTTTTTATCATTTAATAAAAAAACAATAGACTTTTTGACAAATATTTTAAATTTTTTAATTTAATTTATATTATTGTTTAAAACTGTACTTATTTTTCGATTTTGCGCAAGTTAACAAGTTTTTGTTTTGCAATACGTAGTTATAAAATTCGCTGCATTTGTGAACAGAACACAGACCGCTTCTCATCCTCACGCGAAATATGCAATGCGTAGGTATTAAGAAATTTTAATAATGTGTAACAAATTAGTGTAGTAGTAGTGGAGTTGGTTCGAGATAAGTAGGTAGTATATATATATATAATATCATATAAACATATGTAATATCATATAAACATAATCACTGATTTCCGGAACAAAAGACGTCCCGCAAGGGATCACGGCGGTAGGCGAGTGACCCAAAATTGACCCAGAAGCGGGACGTCCCGGCAAATTCGGGACGGTTAGCAAGCCTAGCTAAAATAAATATTTAGCGAAAAATGAAAAAAAATTATAGCCTATGTCATGCCCACTATTAAAGACGAATCTAACGATACGACATCTCGAATTTTAATATCGATCAACCCCGTGTAAGCTGCACAGCGTGCCAAAAAGATGACACGCAGACATACTCTCGAGAACTCGAGTACCAGACACGTAGTTCGAATTTCGAAATGTATTCGGGTCATAATCATAAGGCGCTCCTGATCCTGTTGCCATCGCTCGCACGATGATGTGATGCGATTTCATCGTCCGATGAATCCGCACGCGCGATTTCTTCAGTCGCATCAGATGATCGCACGACGTTCAATAGGACATTCCGCAGATATGAGTATGTTTAAACGCACGGTCGCACGATCATTTTCGTCGGACGCAATGCGTGATCGCGCGGGCGATGGCAATAGGACAGTAGGTGTAGTGTTCACGGCACTTATAAATATGTATATTGAAAGCTCGTCTGTCCGTCCGTTATGTGACCCCGTATCATAGAAACGATCGTTTGCTTTATTGTCTTTGACTTACAGCTGTCAACAATAGGATTATGGAGTGTAGAGGTAAGGAGTACAGACTGTATTAAAAAGTGTCCATAGAAAACCGTTAAATAGGAGTGGCGCCACTATAGCTACGGGTTAAATTTTAAAGAACGTGCTGAAAATATTAGTGGGATAGACGACTTTTTCAAGGTTTTATTTACTAAATAAAATTAATTTAGATTTTAGAGCTACTGAGCAGTTTAGCAGCACACTTAAACCGTCGACAACTGCTAAGTTCATTTCATCCCAGCAGCTACTCCAGCGCTGTTGTGGAGAGTTTTTGAACTGTTATTTATTTCTTACAGATGGACACTTTTTCAACTATTCTACTATGAGAGATTGCTCTCCTTACGTCTACACTCCATAAATAGGAAATTGGGATACCTACATTATGTCAAAACTTTTCAGTAAAGCTCAGGGCTGACCTAATGCGGATAGTATAGTAATATTATAAGTTAGTAACGATAACCTAGATTTAGTTGACAAATAATAGAAAAAGTCTGGTAAACAAGTGATATAATTTTTTAACAACCGACTTCAAATAGATAAAATAAGAACATCATCAAGGTAGTCGAAGTCAATTAAAATACGCATTATTAAACAACTCACAAACTAATCGGTCAGATCTTGATCAAATTTATATAAGAGCACATGAGAAGTACCAACTTTAAAATAAAAAAGTATAAACAAAATGGGTTCACCTAAAAAAAATACAGTCGGATTAAGAACCTCCTCCTTTTTTGAGGTCGGTTGAATTTCGGTTGAATTAAAGTCACTTATCCTGCCTGCTAATGACTTCGCTCGTCTTTATTATTTGAGCTTGAAATTTCTGTATAGGCTGGTATCATTCTGTATGAAAATCTATCACAAAGTCCGTCTAGATTAATATCACTGTATTTTATGTTAAATAAAACAAACTCACATATCCACAATGACTGCGTCCATCTTTACTTGACCCCCAAAATTCATAATATTATAAATTAGAGATCTCAAGCGTCACAGAGCTACGCGTGCATTTCGAAATATCAGATTTATTTAATTTTTCGAGCAGCTGTTTCGAGACGTGTTGCACAACAGCTGTCTGTACATATGTTAGCGTAGGGGAAAGCGTCGCGTCGACGGGAAACTAAGGGCCGTTAATACATGGCGTGCTTTTTGTTTTTAAATGTTTGAATGACAAAGGAACTCTATTTGATAGAGACTAAAACAACCAAAAAGTGGTTATGTATAGTGTCCAAAATTAATTAACTATTATTAAATAAATTTGCAATATTCAAGTTTTATAGTATATATTTATGTAAGTAATATCTAAGTAAAGAAACATGTCATTAATGAAATATAGTTACTAAAACCTCGCACGCGCGCACACACACACACACACACAAAGCACATTTTACGTGTGTGATAGGTGTGAAATTCTTGTGTGTATTTAAAGCCAGATTAATCAGCGTAAAATAGCAGCCTAAAAGGGATTGTGAAGTTGTAGATTTTCATAAGAAAAGGAAAAAAATTTCTCCCCGTAAACATAGTCTAATTTTCATAATTTCTGGAAATATTGTCAAAAACAAACAAAAAAAAATCACTTAGTCCAAAAATTTTTATTTTAAAGAAATATTGTATATTAAAGATATTATATAAGTTATTAGCATCTTAATATCTATATTTTTGACTTAAAAACTTCCTCGAGTGTTTTTTTTTTTAATTGAACTAAACTGAATTACTAACAAACAAAAAAAATTGTCTCAATTCGTAAAGGTTTAGGGGAAACAATATTTTAAAAAGGAAATGTAGGCATTTGCCTTCAAGACTTGAAACTCTCTATCACGATACGGCGATACAGAGCAAGCGGTATGAAACAGATGTATTTTTGAAAATATCCACTCGCGCCGCGTATCGTCACTTCACAATCCTCTTGATACGCCTGCTGCGTATGGTGAATGTAGAAAACCGGAAACCCCTTTTACTGGATACTAACCATACCATTTTAGTCCTTAGCAGTGACAACTGACAGTTGGTAAGATAAATGTAGATGTCTATGGACCACAGCATCCACTTACCATCAGGTGGACTGTGTGCTCGTTTGTCGTCCCAATTCTATAAAAAAAATGTGCAACGTTTTATTTGAATGACAGCTGTAATTGGCCTATTAAGAAGTAACATTATGTAATTAAGTACTCTTACCTTTATGGCCAATGCTTTTATTTTCAAATAAAGACGGCAATATCAGCAAAATGTAGTCGAGGTCAATTAAATACGCATTATTAAGGATAACTCAAAAACTACTGGCCAGATTTTGCAAGAAATTTATATTGGAACACATGAGTAAAATAAAATCATCAATAATCAAATTCGGTTCACTAGAAAAAAAAAATCTGAGGTAACACACATAAAAAATACAACATAAACACTCACGCCTGTCACCCAGAGGGGTAGGCAGAGACTACAGGCTTACATTTAGCACGATCCTGAGACACCTCTCTCGCCTCTTCCACATCCAATATACCTACGCATACATGGTCGTCGGTTAAAGGGTACTCTTAATTTGGCCCATTTTAGTATATCGCCAATTTGGTCGACAAACTTTCGCCTAGGACGTCCCTTTCCGACTCTTCCATTCACTTCTGCAACATATATTTGCTTTGTCAGTCTTTCCTCATTCATTCTTTCTACGTGACCAAACCACCGAAGCGTTCCTTTCTTAATCCTGGTCAAAATACAATCGAATTGGGAAAAATACAATCGAAGGCGATAGAAGCTTGAATAGCTTAAAAATTTTAACATATATAGTGTGAAGTAATTCCAAGGATACATAAAACTGCTAGTCAGATTTTGATAATTTATATTGGAACACATGAGAAGCAAAGCTTTCAGGAATTGAGAACCTCCTCCTTTTTTGAAGTCGGTTGAAAATAAAAAATGAAGAGGTTCCAATACATTAAAATTTAAAACGTTAAGTCCACAATGGAGCGGTCGGTTGCGACCTCGCCAGGTTGCCTGTATTTGCATAAAGTGGAGGCCGTCTGTTGCGAAAATTTTGTACACACGTTGTTTTACTGTTTGTATTGCGAAATTTTAAAATACGACGAAGCTAGCCAGGTTCACTTTCTACCATTGTTAACGTTAAGAAAACTAAACAAGTTTATGCATAAGTTGTTTAATATACCTCGTTTTTAGGGTTCCGTAGTCAACTAGGAACCCTTATAGTTTCGCCATGTCTAGAAAATAATGCTTAAAATTGCTAAAACGAGAAGAAAACTATATTTGTATTATAAAATGTCTTGTAAGTCATTTATAAAAGGCTCAATTTCATCAGTATTATTTATTGTGGTGTTCGTTTTGTTATAGGAATTTACCATTGTCTGTCCGTCCTCGCTTAATCTCTGTGACCGTTAGCACTAGAAAGCTGAAATTTGGTACCAATATGTGTATCGATCACGCCGACAAATTGGAAAAATAAAAATTGGAAAAAAATGTTTTATTAGGGTAGACCCCCTATATGTAAAGTGGGAATGTGATTTTTTTTTTTAATTTCAACCCTAACGTGTGATATATTGTTGGAAAGGTATTTATTTAAAAATGAATAGCGGTTTACTAAAATCATTTTTTGATAATGTCAATCATTTCGGAAATAATCGCTCCAAAAGTAAAAAACAATGTGTCGCCCCCCCAACTTTTGAACTATATGTTTAGAAAATATGAAAAAAATCTGAAAAGTAGAACTTTATAAGGACTTTCTAGGAAAATCATTTTGAACTTGGATGGAAACAACAGTACCCACTACCGGGAGCAGTTGCAGGAGCGCGAACATAATGGATACCCACCTTTAAACTCATAAGTGGGAACACTTATTGTGATGGATGGGAAACTACGGAACCCTACACTGAGCGTGGCCCGACACGCTCTTGGCCGGTTTTTTTTTAATAGAATAAGTGTGACAAACGAGCAAAACGGTCAACTTGATGGTATGTACCATATAGTGGCCCACAAACATAGTTCATTTAGTATCTATATTAAAGCTAGCGTTGCCAGACGTCCGGATAAACCCGGACACAATCAAACTTTTTGGTTGCGTGTCCAGCCAAATTAGACGGTGTCCGGATTTTGTTAGGCTTTTTAAATTTGACCATTTCTTTGTATTTTTCATATACACACTACAGCAATTATCGACATTAATACATACTGTAATGAATATTGAATCATTAATAATAAAGAAGACTGATTTATTTAATTGTTGTTATTTCGTTACAACTTAAGAATTTTTTCGGTAAATGATAAAAAGCATTATTTTACTTTAAAAAAATGTCTTTTACTAAGAAAAAACAATAAGGGCGTCCGGTCTTTTTACCAAAAATCCGACTAAGCTCACTGGTCTGTCCGGCTTTTCGGTTTTAAGACCTGGCAACCCTAATAACAGCTATGTTATATCTACAAAAAGCAGGTGTTACCAGTGAGGACTAAGATGGAATGCCTCGTTTCCAGTAAAAAAAAACGGTCTCCGGTTCTTTACACTCACCATACGAAACACAGCAACATCAAGCTGGTATTTCACACCGATATTCTGTGAGAGTGTAGTCCTCCCCCGGTCGAGCGGACCCATTCGTGCTACAACCATAATGTTGTAGCTCAGGGTAGATCTAAAACGTATTATTATTTTTCATATTGTCGAGTCTGAGCTATGTTCATTGTTCAAGTATATCTCATTGGGCAATTAGTATAAAATCTATTACTAAATTACACTTGAACAGAACGAAAGCTAGTTAATACAAACATGGTAACTGTAAAAGGGTATACCGTATAGTGGTATAAGAATATCCCATATCATCTCGTGGGTGTCGCGTGGGTATGGATGACGCGACGGAGGCTCAGAGAATACCAGCGTAAAATAGTTGCTTAATGCTGCTGTGTTTCGTATGGTGAGTGTAGAGAACCGGAGACCCTTTTTACTGGAGACGAGGCATTCCATTTTAGTCCTCACGGACGTGACAACGCATCTGCATTTTGATTCTTAATCGAGGATGTAGATAGATGTCTATGGGCCAACCACTTACCATCAGGTGGACTGTGTGCTCGTTTGTCACCCTATGCTATAAAAAGTGGGCTTAAATATGCCGTAACGGTAACCGTAAAAGCATAGTATTTTTATGGACTTAATATGAATAGTAATGACCGCGGTTTAAAATATAAAAAAAAAAAATTGTTTATGTACTACATAAGGTACGTCCTATATATTTAGTTCCGCAGCAGGAGGTGCACATAAATATAGTCCCTCACTCGACCACCGTTAATAGTAAGCGGTTAATGGATATGTGACACGCACGACTTTACGTAATAGGTATGTCGTGCGTGTCACAGGTTATCAACATGAGTAGGATTGCCAGGTCTTAAAACCGAAAAGCCGGACAGACCAGCGAGCTTAGCCAGATATTTTGGTGAAAAGACCGGACACCCTTAACTTCTTAGTATAACATGATAATATTATTAAAGTAAAACAATGTTTTTTATCACTTACCATAAAACCAACTTAAATTCTAATGAAATAAAATTAAATAAATCCGTCTTCTTTGTTATTAATCATTCAATAATCATTACAATATTAATGTCAATGATTGCAATATTATGTATATAAGTATATGAAAAATTAAAATATTGTCAATTTTAAAAACCTAACAAAAGCCGGACAGGCCGGACATCCGGCTTTATCCGGACGCCTGGCAAAGCTAAACACGAAAATTTAATTTCTCAATAAAAAAATATGAAACGGCTACACAAAGCAAGCCCTGAGTTAAAACATATCTCCACGCGGCCCAGCATACGAAATTAAATTGTACTTTTAATTTTTGTAATATCGATTTTTCTATACTTACTACTCCAGATAATATTTGTAGTTTGTACTGGAAAGTATTGACAACCCTAGCTATGGTATCGCCATGACCCAAATAAGTCTGCAAAAGGTTTTTATCGATTTGTTTAAATGAGGTTATCGTAAAGAATGAGTGCTCTATACTAACTACTTTATAAATTTAGTACTTTAAATGTAACCGGAATGGCTTTAATATCACTGATTAAAATGGTTGATCGCGTCAACCGCTTCCAAATTTAAGAAAATGTATAATTGACGTTTTTTTTTTATAAAATGGAAGTAACAAATTGTCTTACAGTCTAGCTGATGGTAAATGGCTATTGCAGTCAATGGAATGCCACAAAACAATGAAGGTTATATATTTTTCTTCAGTTTAATTTTAAAAATCTACATCCAGATACATTGTCACCCGTGAAGACTTAGATGGAATGCCTGGTTACTAGGTACAAGGGGCTCTCATCGATACCATCCTCACCATCCCGTGCCGTGGTAGCTCAGATGTTTAGCGCCCGCTGTGAATTTCACAGTAGGTGAGCAAACCGGGTTCGATCCCCGCCGGCACCAATGAAATTGTTAATTGCAATTTTAAGTGGTGATTTACCACGTGCTCGGCGGTGAACGAAAACATCTTGAGGAAACCTGCATGTCTGAGAAATTAGAAAAAAAAATATTTAGAAGATATGTGAAGTTTACCAACACGCATTAGGGCAGCGCGGCGGACAATTCCTTGCCCTAAAACCCTCAGAAATGAGCAGAGGCCTTTACCCAGGAGTAGAACATATATAGGCTGTAACATCTAGATGCTTGGCGGTCCACCACTGTGAGTTTTACTAGTAGTTTTCTTCCTCGTACAACTTCTCTGTGGAATTGTTTACCTCCGGCGATTTTTCCGGACCGATACGTCTTAGGGACCTTCAAGAAAAGAGCTTACTCCTTTCTAAAAGGCCGGCAACGCACCTGCAATTCCCCTGGTGTTGCGGTTGATCATGGGCGGCGGTAGTCACTAACCATCAAGTGAGCCGTATGCTCGTTTGCCCCCTCTCTATATAAAAAATCAGTTTACGTAATTACTTTTTTATATTAAAAAAACCGTTACCCCCACTCCGTCATTTTCTCCTATATTGTGAAGGCAGTTTACATACATACATTTTACAAAAACAAACATCCGGACTCAACCATTATTCGAAGGGAATTCAAACCCGCGACCCTCAGCGTCGCAATTCGTTAACTCATTACCAAGTCACGTAGTCATCAAATGGCTCACGGCGTCATGGCCATAGAATACTATAATACATACATAATAGAACGGGGGAGTGGGCGAAGCCCGCATAACCACTAAAACGTCACTAACACGTAAATTCACACTTATAATTTTTGTCAACACGAGATGTGTTTTGACGTTACAATCGCTTCCAAATTTCGCATGCAAATTATTTAGAAAATGCCAAATTGCACCCTATTTACAAATGAATATGTATTAAAATTTAAACGATTTTTTTGATGATGATCTTGAACATTAATCAAAAGTCTAAAATGTTTAAATTTATTCAGTCTGTCAGCACAGCGAATCGGGTTTTGCGACGCCCTTCCTCGTACAAAATAAAGTTGATAGCCATTCTATTGTGTGTTATAGTATTCTATGGTCATGGCTATTGTAGTATTCCATAAAAATTTACATTTTCAGAGCGGGGAGGTGACGATCGGCGCGAGAGATGGCGCTGCACACGTGCTCCGCTGTCTCAAGGTGTGGTTCGATCTACCGCCGGATGTGCTCATCAGCGCTATCAACCTGTTCGACAGGTAAGCGGATACGGTGCCATGGTGGCTACTTTTTTTTATAGGATAGCGTGACAAACGAGCACACAGTCCACCTGATGGTAAGTGGTTGCTGCGGCCCATAGACATCTACATCAATCCTTGATTACGAATCAAAATGCAGATGCGTTGTCACCCGTGAGGACTAAGATGGAATGCCTCGTTGTCAGTAAAAAGGGTCTCCGGTTCTCTACACTCACCATACGAAACACACCAGCATTAAGCTACTATTTCACGCTGGTAGTCTGTGACAGTGTGATCCTTCCCCGGTCGAGCTGACCCATTCGTACTACAACTATACTATCTTTGTGATTTGAAATTTGATGAAACTAAAAAGCGAACGCTGAAAAGAGACAAACTTATAAATGTATAAGATTTAGTCTGAGAAAGAATATGATACAAGTACTACAATAAAAAAAAATTGTACAACCAACTTCAATATTAATAAAATGAGAACATCATCAATGTTGTTGAAATCAATTTAATAAGAATTATTAAGGATAACTCAAAAACTTACTGGTTAGATCTTGATAAAATTTATATGGGACCACTTGAGCAACGTCAGCTGTCAAATAAAAAAAGAATCAGAAAAAAGTTCTGAGATTAATACAAAGAAATACAGTCAAATTCTACAGTGTTGCTTATTATCATACACGTTTTTTTTTTAACAAAGTCACTTCAATTTAAAGAACAAGACCCATGCTGCAGCAATATTATAGTTGTAGCTTCTATCACGAGTAGGTTGGCTCGACCGGGTAAGGACCACGCTCTCACAGAGTACCAGTGTAAAATAGCAGCTTAATACTGCTGTATTTTGTATGGTGAGTGTAGAGATCTGGAGACTCTTTTCTACTGAGGCATTCCATCTTAGTCCCCAGGGGGTGAGAACGCATCTGCGTTTTGATTCTTAAACGAGGATAGATGTAGATGTCTATGGGCCGCAGCATCCACGATGTCTATGTGCCACAACATCCACTTACCATCAAGTGGACCGTGTGCTCGTTTGTCATCCTTATTCTATAAAATAAAAAACATAAGTTAATATTTTGCATTTCAGATTTCTAACAAAAATGAAGGTGCGTCCATGTCACGTGCCCTGCATCACCGTCTCGTGTATGAACGTGGCGCTGGATGAGTACGCCGAGATCACCAACCAGCCCAGGAAGGTGTCCGTTGAAGAGCTGGGTAAGTGTATAGAAAAGTCTAAGATTTTTTTTATGGAAGATGATGCAAACAAGCATATGGCACATCTGATGGCAAGTAATCACCAACATCCATGAACATGTGCATTCCATATGAAAGTGCAGGCTTTTCAGAAAGGAGTAGGTTCTTTCCTTGAAGCTAACTAAGACGTATTAGTCCGGAAAAAGCGCTGGCGACAGGAAATTCCTTTTTTATGTGCATTATCTCAGAACTTTTTTCTAGATGAACTGATTTCGATGATGGTTTTTTTTTATTTGAAAGCTGATGCTTTTGGTGTGGTTCCATATAAATTTGCTCAAGATTTGAACTGTAGTTTTTGAGTTATACTTAATAATGCATATTTATTTGACTTCAACTACATTGGTGATGTTCTCGTTTTATTTGTATTGAAGTCGGTTGTACAAAATTTTTTATTTTACCACTTGTTTAAACCTGCATACAAAATACATAAATGTAGTCGTTTAATGTTGAAGTTTAGTAGACACAAAACAAACCTCAGTAGAATGCTCTTTAATACGTGGTATAACCTTGCTGCAGCTATATTATGGTCGTAGTACAAATGGGTCGGCTAGACTGGGTAAGGACCGTGCTCTCACAGAATACCAGCGTGAAATACCAGCTCAATGTTGCTGTGTTTCGTGTGGTGAGTGTAGAGAACTGGAGATCCTTTTTACTGGAAACGAGGCATTCCATCTTAGTCCTCACGGTTGACAACGCATCGGCATCTTGAATCTTAATCGAGGACAGATGTAGATGTCTAAGTGCCACAGTATACACTTACCATCAGGTGGACTGTGTGCTTGTTTTATCACCTTTATTTTATAAAAAAATAAAAGAAATTCTACTTAACCTTTATATCTGTGATTTTATATTTAATCTAATTAATATAAAATACAATAAATAGTACAAAATGAAACATTAACCTTTACATTTTTCGAACAAATTGACTTTCTCACCATGAAATCTGTTGAATATTACATAATATTACATATTATATACACCTAATTTTTAAGTGGCGCTGCCCTGATGGCAAAAAAAGTCATAGAAGCTTATCTTCAATATATCGCCAATTTCTTTGATAAATTTTCGTCTAGGGCAGGGGTCGGCAACCTGCGGCTCGCGAGCGTGCTCTTTGCGTGTGAAGCGCGAGCTCTTTGCGTGTGAAGCTGCGGCTCTTTAGTTCCATACGCAAATTTATTTTATAAAAAAACATTTAAGAATCGTTCTGAATCGATTCAGGAGTATTAGGCACCATTTCTATCTCTCAGCCACTTGTAGTCGCTTTTCACCGCACCCACACACACGAAATCCATACTGGGCCATTTGAAGTTGATACTAGATTTTTAGAAATGTACTACTTTTATATGATGAATAAATATATATTTTTCGTATGATTAAACAGATAAGTTTCTCTTTTTATCAAAAAAACTTAGTAGTAGTTAGTTAAAAGTACTATTTATGGTAGGCAAGAAAAAATTTGTGGCTCTTTAAAACTTTGAATTTTGGTAATTGTAATTTTTGACTATCCTGACTTATAATGTTGCCGACCCCTGGTCTAGGGCATTTCATGCTGACTCTGGCATTCACTCTTGGAACATAAATTAGTTTAGTTATCCTTTCCTTAATTTCTTATTCATTATTTTTACATGACTAAACCACCGAAAGCATTCGTTAAAAGTCTCAGTAGTTTAAATTTTTTTAAATGACCTTAGAGATTGACCATGATTAACCAGTTTGTAGAAACTGTATATAAAATTAAGTATAATATTGTAAAATATTAAAATTAAGTAATACTTTAATATTAAGAGCCTATATGAAACATTTTCTTGTTGGCCAAATTGCATTATTAATGAGTTGTTTTGTCTCAAAGCAGCTGTTTACAGAGACGAGGAATGTTATTTAAATAAATATATTTTGATAATATTTCTTTTGCTATTCGCCAGTCATACTGAATAGCTGTGTTTAAAAAAAATTAACCAACAACATTTTAAAATAAAGTAGGTGCATTGTTAGTGTTACGGCCTATTAAAGTCCACTGTTGAACATAGTAGATTGGCAATTGCAGTTTTTTTTTTGAAGTGAACATTTCTTTAGAATCATCGTGATTTGAAATTTGGTGAATCGAAAAAGCCATAAATATATACATCTTAGGATTTAGCTTGCGATATAATGAGATAGAATATTATATTGAATTAGTTGTGTTTAGGCCATCTAGTGTCTATTTTGTGTACCATTTTAGAGTCAATTTAATTTTTTTTTTCAAGAAAATGAGTACCTATAGAGTGAAGTAGAATCAAATGAAGTGCTATTACAAGGCCAACTTTATTTGAAAGAAAGTATTCTTTCGATTTATTATGCAAAAATCGAAAAAATGTCTAAAATAATTATTGTAATATTTATTTGCTATAAAACTAAACCTTCATCTTATATTTTATGCCGTACTTGTGTTTAAAAATTATATTATTAAACAAAATTTGCCCTGAAATGCCTATTTCTATTTTGTATTTTATTTCATTTGGAGGTTTTAATTTCACAGCGTGTGAACTGCACACATGTTTTTTTTTTTGAAGTGAAAACTTCTTTAGCGGCGTTGTACACTTTTTTTGTAATGAGTAAAAAAATGTTAAACTCGCGTCAGGACACGACCCTGATCGAAAATTCGTAAGACGGATGGAGAGAGACAGCCGGCGCGGCGTAGGAGAGGAAGTATCCCCCCTCTCTTTCTACGGCGCTGCGAAAATGTATGCCTACGCCTGCTGTTTCCTTTAGGCGGCGCAGGGCGCTTGCGCGAATGTAATATAAATTGTCATGTTTGTGTACGATAGCGCAATAAATAAATGTATTCTACCACATAAATGATAGTACTTTTATACTGATAATTAAAGCAATTCGTGCAAAATTATTCTCTAACCATTCCAAAATATCAAAAATGCACAACGTTAATAATCAAGTTTTCACTTCTGCCGGCACTTCCGGAGTGCAATCCGTCGTTTTTTTTTAGTCGTTATTAGGTTAAGTGCATGTGATGAAGTGAAAGTGTCGTTGTTTGCAGTGTCGGTGTCGCAGTCGGCGTGCACGTGGCGCGACGTGGCGCGCATGTCGCGCGTGCTGGCCGACAAGCTGGCGCTGAACAACGCGCGCGCCGTCACGCCCCTGCACTGGCTGCGCCTCTTCCGCACGCTCGCGCCCGCGCAGCCGCCGGTACGCACGCCTCGCGCGTCTCTCTGCACGCACACACTCATATTTACACACACGCACGCACACACACTTACACCTAACCAACTAACTTACACCTAATTCTGGCTAGTCTCGGTATAAAAAATATACAAAAGATTAACCGGCTAATTAGAGTTTAGTTTTGTTTGTAAATTTGCTTTTTAATATATGACCGAATCATTTTACATTGATTAAAACCACTTTTACGGATTTTATCGCGTTTAATTTTAATTATTTTTTAAATTGCTGACGTTTCGGGTGTTTTCCAGCACCCATGGTCACGGGGAACTGAGATGAGACGCCAGTGAAATTAGGGACCCTATAATCAATAATATTAAAACTAAACACAAGCAAATACCAGTGCAAGACTTCAAGACAGTCAGTTCATTTTGCATAGATCGGACCATAAACAATGATTAAAAAAGCTGGTACTCCGGGTTTTAACACTGACATCGGGACGTCAGTCATCTCACTCTCCCGTGACCATGGGTGCTGGAAAGCACCCGAAACGTCGGGATTTAAAAAAAAATAAAGATTAAACGCGATAAAATCCGTAAAAGTAGTTTTAATCAATGTGTAGTGTTCGCGTAAATATAAGAAATCATGAATAATTTTATATATTTTTATAGTACAAATATTCACGCCATTGAATTCACAGCAGCCTCACCTTATCTTACTGACTACATCTAATTGTATTCATTAATACAGTTTGAATGCCTAATCTTAAAAAAGTTAACATTAAGTCTACACTAAAAACTTAACCGAAATTGAGCTGCCTAACATTAACTTTCTTATTTACACCAACATTAGATGATGTAACATATATTTCAAGTACATAATATGAAGCTCTCCAACATTGTACATTTTTGTATATTGTTGTACATTTCTTTGCCCAAAATTCAAACCAAACTCAAACAGAAAGGAGGCTTATGCCCAGCTTTGAGACGAATGTGGGCTGTAGCTTTAAGTATTGTCATGCTCTCTAGATCACAAATATTAATATTTATTTATGTACACACACTAAAATACAGAAATAAAATCATACAGTGAGTTCGTATAAAGATATAATATACTAAAATAATTATATAATAGCATAATTTACTAAAATATTTTCCAGTAGACCAATAAAAATGTTATGGCCTATATACATCCCACTGCTCGACAAAAGCCCCTAAGCTACCATAACTCTCTATTCTAGTATGTATACATAAACTACTATACTGAATAACAAAATCATTATACCTATTCAGAGTCTAGTTTCTAACTTACGTGTTTAGCATATGTATCAAAAGTAACATTTCTGTGTCTTAAATGAGATTGTTGAATTAGATGTTGCAACTTTTGTCATTATTCCCTTTCACTATATCTAGCTAGCCTAGGTTTAAGCGCTCGCTGTAAGCTCAGACCTAAGGAATATATGTGTCGGTCATTGTAATAGTGGTGTAACTCCATAATATAAAATATTTTATTTTCCCATAGTGGGCTCACAATATATCATATCTTTCAATATAAAAATGAAGCAACTCCACTGATACCACTAAAGTGACGTAGATGTCGCTATTTTGTTTAGTCTAGGAACAGATTTGTACTGCTATTCACTATAAAAGTGAAGTATGTCCCAAGTCACTTTTATAATGAAGTAAGTCCGGAGTTGATTCACTTTTATTGCGACCGATTGTTGTCATCCGTTGTACGTGTTGTGATAATTATTAAAAAAGGATTTTCAAAGTCGGTGTTTTTGTGGGGTTTTAATATAATATGTCTAATACAGAAGATTTTAGTGATTCTGGTTCTGAATATCAGACTATTCCTGGAGAAATTCATACAGAATCTGGTAAGTTATATTTTTATTAGTTGTTTTTCTAACCTAAAAATATTGTGATAACTTTCAAGTTTATAGACAAGAAAATACGATATCTAAGGATATATTTTCTATTCAGTTATGTCCTAGAAATCACTATTATTTTATTGGTTTCGTTTTTATACTTGTTTCAGAAACAGATACAAGTTGTGACGAAAATATTATGATGCCGTCTAGTCTATCAGAACCTGAAACATCTAAATCTAGAAAAAGGTCAATCGACAAGCAAAATTGGACAGTTAATAAAAGAAAGTTATTGCGTAATAGTGGAAAAGGTTATGTAACTAAAATGGGAGTGGAGAAAAATACCAAAATCTTCGAAAATATTGACTGTGGATGTCCTAAAAAGTGTTATACGCTTTTTACAGAAAATGAAAGGCAAGATGTGTTCGAATCATTTTGGAATTTAAAGGACTTTAATCAGCAAAATGCCTTTCTATATGCATTAGTGCAAAAAGCATCTGTTAATAGAAAACGACCTAAAGATCTGTCACAAGCAGGAAAAAACGTTTCGTTTAAGTATTTTCTCAAATCTCATATTATGACACAGCTGGTATGTAAAGAATATTTTTTGAAACATTCCAAATCAGTGATGGAAGATTATATCGCTTTCTATCAAAAGGCGATGTCTCGCAATGTAAAGATAAACGAGGCACGACTAGTACTCGAAAATTAGATGATTCTGACATTATTGTTCATATGCAAAGCTTTCCCGCGTACCAAAGCCATTACACAAGAAAAAGTAATCCTAACCGGAAGTTTTTAAATCCTGGGCTAATTACTCGAAAGATGTACGATTTATATAAAGAAAAATGTTTGACTGAAATGACAGAACCTAAAAAATTAAAATATTATAATAAAGTTTTTAACACCAAGTTTAATCTACATTTCAAGGCACCGCACCAGGATACATGTAAGACTTGCGATAGCTTGAATTTTAAAATTAGAGGCACCGATGACGAGAACGTGAAGAAAGAGTTTGAAGTTCAAAAGGAACTTCATCAAAGAAAGGCAGATTCGGCAAGAGAAAATCTACAAATTGATGCTAATAAGATTAATGACGCATATGTACTAACCTTTGATTTGCAGAAAGCTTTAGCTTTCCCAAAATTAACTACTTCGGTAGCGTACTATAAAAGGAATCTGTATTTGTATAATTTGGGAATACATTGTTTTAATAACAACACAGGGTACATGAACGTCTGGAATGAGATAGAAGGAGGGCGAGGGTCTCAAGACATTGCAGTCTGTCTCGTGAAACATTTAAAAACTCACGCGGTAACACAAAATCACGTCATCATGTATTCCGATTCTTGCACTGGACAAAATCGAAACATTAAGACTACCCTTTCCCTTTTAAAGCTCGTACAAGACCCGGATACTAGTATAACCACCATAGACCACAAGTTTTTAGTGTCCGGGCATTCTTATTTGCCTAATGATGGGGAATTTGGGATAATTGAGAGCGCAAGTCGCCGTCATGGACAAATTTATAGCCCGGATCAATGGATTGAGATCATAAAAACAGCCAAACGCAAAGAACCACATTTTGTTGTAACCGAAATAAAAAATTCCGAATTTAAAAGCACTGCGGCATTAGAAAAAGCTATTACCAACAGAAAAAAAACAACCTGTGGTTACGACTTCAACTGGCTGAATATTAGATGGCTGAGGTTTGAGAGGGATCATCCTTTACAATTTCAATTTAAAGAAACGCTCAACGCTGACATGCCCTTCTACAAAGTACATCTATCAAAAAAGCAACAAGGATGACCAGCTTACTTGTACAATATTCAACAAGGCCCTTACGTCATTCGGCAATAGTGACTAGTCTTCTTGAAGGATAGAGGGCCAAGGCCCTCTATCCTTCAAGAAGACTAGTCACTATTGCTAAGAAGAAGGATATGCTTGATCTTCTCCCATACATTCCACCAATTTACCATCAATTTTACAAAAACCTTACTGTAGACATTCCAACACGGTCAAGCACACGTAATGCTGATGAAAGTTCGTCTGATGACGAAATAACCTACGATTAACCACTTAACGAAATCACAATAAGTATAACTCGTCACTTTAACAGTGAAGTAAGTCCACAAAAAAAATTATAATTCGTTTCATTAAAATAACTTCGTCTTATTTTTAAGTAACTATATACTATTATAATATTTCATTTGTTAACTACAATAAAAAATATAAAGCATTGAATAAAAATTTGTAGTTTTTTTTCTACGCGTTAATTAACAAAACTCTTAATTTCTCAAAACTTCATTGCATGGAGATAATTCACTATTACAATGAACGACACATATATTGGAACATTTTACGTCGTAGAGCCGCGCTGCAGTTATATTAGCAGTATATTTGTAGCACGAATGGGTCGGCTCGACCGGGGCACGACCACGCTCTCACAGAATACCAGCGTCAAATAGTAGCTTAACGCCGCTGTGTTTCGTAAGGTGAGTGTAGAGATCCGGAAACCCTTTTTACTGGAAACGATGCATTCCATCTTACAATACCTGGCGATAAATATTGCACATCGACCTTTGGAAAGAGACAATCAGCTAATTTCGGTTTCGTAGAGCGTTATCTCTATCGCACGAAATACAAACAGTCCATCAGTCAGTGTACGACAGAGATAACGCTCTACGAAGCGGAAATCAGCCGATTGTCTCTTTCCAAAGGTCGATGTGCAATATTTTTCGCCGGGTACTGTAGTCCTCACGGATGTCAACGCATCTCCATCTTGATTTGTAATCGAAGATAGATGTAGATGTCTATGGTCTACAGTAACCACTTACCGTCAGGTAAACTGTGTGCTAGTTTGTTACTCTTATCTTTTTTAAAAAAAGAAGGCAAACTTGGTGCGTTTTTATTTTCAAAATTCTTATTTAATTTTGTTTCTAACAGGAAAACGAGCTGGTGAACCTCCTGGAGATAGCGATCTGCGACGCGGGCTGCGCCAACGCTCGGACCAGCGAATTGGCGCTAGTACTTGTATATCATCAACTTGGTAAGAATATCATTATTTTTAATCGATTAAAATTAAAATTGGCAATGGGCCGGCCATATAGCTCGAGGAACCGACAACCGTTGGGGAAGAAAGGTTCTCGAGTGGCAGCCTCGTACCGGTAGGCGAAGTGTAGGGCGATCCTTCACTAGGTGGAGTGACGTCCTGGTAAGACATGCAGGAAGTCGATGGATGCAGGTGGCTCAGGACCGTGCTTTGTGGCATTTCTTGGGGGAGGCCTATGTTCAGCAGTGGACTTGTGAAGGGCTGTAATGATGATGATGATGATGAAAATTAAAATTAGGATGCGGTTGGTGTCGTCGACAAAGTCGTTTGCTTAACGTAAATATGTTTACATAACGAAACTTTCTCAAAATGTCGGCGCTTCCCCATCCGGCGCTCTATGTGTCGCACTCCTCAGTCAACATAAATAATTATATGATCCTTTATCTATCGAGTGTTGTAATTAAGTACGTGGATGACCGAGCTGTGCTCGGTATTTTTTTTAAATCGTGTGTTTTGGAAATTATATTTAGATACAAATTTCTGATGAAATATAATATTTTTTGATCTTACCGACATAATAGAAAAAACTGTATATTTAATAAAAAAATCATAAGTGCAATTAGTTTAATTTAAGTTTTCGTGTTTTTAAAAAAATACTATAAAAGGGCTCGAAATAATAGATTTTCTCAAAAATCGGAGACAGGACTCGAACCAGGGTACTACAATTTCGTGACCGCCCGATATCTCATTTGAGCTATTATAATCATTAATGCGACATCAAAATTTACCTTATTCTAACGATATTGTAGCAGTTTTTCATGGCCTGAAGATACGGATAAAATGATATTTTCCAAAAATGAATCCTAGCTAGATCGATTTATTGCCCCCGAAACTCCCTGGAATTTTATGAAAATCGTTGGAACCGTTTCCGAGATTCCGATTATATATATACAGTGAATTTCGGTTATAACGACGGCGGAGGGACCACTTTAATATCGTCGCTTTATCCGGAGGTCTCTATATCCGAAATAATAAAAAGTCATGTACATATTTACTTATCATTTATTTAATTAAGTTATACACGGGTGTTTTGTGATTTTTATTTATTTTCAGGGATTTTGATTCAAAACACTCTATAATTTTAGCGCGGTTTTTTCACATCGTTGATATTGTAGAATGTGAAACTCCAAATTGTTTACACAGATCAACATTGTTTTGTCCATTTTGCAGTCTCGAAATGATGTCCACTTTTATTTAACAGTAAATGTACGTCTAGGAGCCATATACACAAGTTTAAGATACACTGTTCACTCACTGGAATTTCTATGTAACTGATTCACAAATTTAACTTCGTAAATATGCTACGTAGTCCTACATACAAAGCATTAGTTTGACCATCTGTGAATGTAAACAAAGGATAAGAAAGCTTAGTAGTTTTATGAATGAGTCTTTGTGCCTTTGCCGACTCAGTCGCAATATCCGCAAGGGATTTCTAGGAATCGGTCATAAACGGTTCATAAAAACAAGTCGCTATACCCGAAATTGACGCTATAACTAAAAAAATGATTTTCTTACGAAAGTATGCTTTAAATTCAAGGGACATAAGTTTGACGTCGCTATAACGGTAAAGTCGTTACAACCGAGGTCGTTATTAATGAACTCCACTGTGTATATATATATATATATATATATATATATATATATATATATATATAATATACAAGAATTGCTCGTTTAAAGGTATTATATAGATTTTGTATGTATACAATAGATATGTAACACTAAACTGTATCCCCCGATTTTCTTATCACCAGTTTTCTGAATTGCCTGCCACTGTGGAAACTATTCGTAAACGTATTCACGTCAATAAACAATATCTTTAGAACGACAGTCTGACACCGAAACCCGAAATCGTTTTAACCATGTGAAGAAATTACATTGACATTAACATGACATTACATTTTTGTTACATATTGTATATTCTTATAAACTATAAAATAAAAAGTTGTTGACATTGGCTGCATTGGACAGACAAAAGCGCTAGGAAGCGATTTTCTGCATTATATGCTTTCGACAGATTTGGAATACTTAATATTATCACGTGTATAACTTATTTTACAGAAAAACAATTGACAGAGTGGGCGAGGCACAACGCGGTGTCTGATGAGTTGTACTACTTGTACGAGTTTGCTTCCCAGCTGCAAGCCTACTGCAATGTGAGTATATGTTCCACTCTGAGTTGATGTATTTGTAGTCATTTACATCATGACAAGGAAGAAGAAGGAAGGAAGTACAACGGGAGAACCCAACCCTAGTCTCGGAAATACATCAGCATAGTGTTATCTGTTAAAAATAGTAAAATTGTGGGAACTTATGTTCAATGTGCTCTCTTGCTCACGCAATTAATTGGTACCTGGACAACCGAGCTTTGGTCGGTTTTTTTTAATTTATTTTTAAATTGTGTATTTTGGAAATTTTATTTAGATACAAATTACATACTGATGAAATATAAATAATATTTTTTGATCTTACCGACATAATAGAAAAAACTGAACTGGTTATTTGAATTAAAAATTATGAATGCAATTAAGTAGTTTAATTTGAATTTTCGTTTTTAAAAAATACTAAAAAAAGGGCTCTGAATAATAGATTTTCTCACAAAAGTAGGGAACTTGAAAAAAAAGGGACCGAGGACAGGACTCGAACCCGGGTACTATGATTTCGGGACCGCCCGATATCCCATTTGAGCTATTATAATCATTAACGCATTACCAAAATTTACCTTTTTATCCTAACGATATTGTAGCAGTTTTTCATTGCCTGAAAACACGGATAAAACTACATTTTCTAAAAATGTATCCTAGCTAGATCGATTTATTGTCCCCGAAACTCTCTGAACACTAAATTTTATGAAAATCGTTGGAGCCGTTCATTCCGAGATTACGATTATATATATATATATATATATATATATATATATATATATATATATATATATATACAAGAATTGCTTGTTTAAAAGTATTCGATTATTAGACATACATTTTACATTTTTGAGTATAGAGCAATTACAGCAATTACAAATTACAGTTCGACCATACCATGGTATGACTGTACGATTTTTTATATCTTACTTTCTTTTGTTTTTTTTTCTCTAACTTTTAATTTTTTTGGATGTATTTTTATGATGGTAATTAAGTGGGTAGTTTTGTAATTTTAGGAAATTGCTATTTTTGTAAAATAATTAGTTTTAGGAGGAGAAATAGGACATAGCGAGCATGATAGTAGTAGATATAAATTGTTTTATTAAATAATCTAAGAAAAACTTAAATAACAGGCATTTGATTGAGCTGTGTTGGTCTTTATTTTTTTTAATAAGGTTGTTATCCTTATCCACGTAAAAAAACACTACATAACCATTTTATTACGTGGTAGAGCCATGCTGCAGTTATATTAGTAGTATAGTTGTAGCACAAATGGGTCGGCTAGACCGGGGAAGGACCACGCACTCACAGAACACCAGCGTTAAATAGTAGCTTAATGCTACTGTGTTTCATATGGTGAGTGTAGAGAACCGGAGACCCTTTTTACTGGAAACGAGGCATTCTATCTCAGTCCTCACGGGTGACAACGCATCTGCATTTTGATTTGTAATCGAGGATAGATGAACATGTCTATGGGCCACAGCAACCACTTAACATCAGGTGGACTGTGTGCTTGTTTGTCATCCTATCCATTAAAGAAACCATTCCACCGGTTGTCACTTTTGCGATAGACCAGCCAGTGGTATCCAGTAGAAGGCAATAGTGATGAAAATGTATATGTTGTGTTGCAGATGTCGGACGCCACGCTGGTGGCGACGCGCGACCGCTTCCGGTCCGTGCTGCAGCGCTACGAGGCGCGCAGTGCAGCGCCGCACCGGCAGCGCCTCGTCTGGAGGCTGTCCGAGCGGACCCTCAAGGTACTAACGTACAAACATACACACATTTATTCCAACACTTACATCTACACATATGACACCTTACAATTAAATAATGACAAAATCGTGCCCCTTCCCCAACTTCATCATAAGTAGTGGATTGAACCATCTCAGCTTAAGTCACAAGCTTGCAGCGCTGATTTTCAGTTTTCCCCAAACAAGTTTAATTTATCAACATTATGCAAGCGAGTAATTCTTTATCTATATACTATACTCTATGTGAGATAAGCCATAGACAGTAAATTTGGAGTTACAGCCTATATAGTATATACGTCCCACTGCTGCAAGGAAGTGTTTGTGGAAATACCCCAATGCGTGTTGTCAAACTTCACATGTCTTCAAAATATTTTTTCTTATTTCTCAGAAATGCAGGTTTCCTCACGACGTTTACTATCACCTCCAAGCATGCGACGATATAGGAACAATTTTATTAGTGTCAGCGGTGATCGAACCCAAGTTGCTCACATGCTATGAAATTTACAGCGAACTCTAAGCTAAGAACTACCTCGACTCTCATAGACAGTAGTAACAAAAAATCCCTGCATTTTAATATAATAATAATATACATTTTTTAAACATATACATAAACACTCACGCCTGTCACCCAGAGGGGTAAGCAGAGACTACAGTCTTCCATTTGGCACAATACTGACACACCTCTCTCGCCTCCTTCACATCCATACACCAACCCATACATGCTCGTCGGTTAAGGGTACTCCTAATTTGGCCCGTTTTCAATAAATCGCCAATTTGGTGGTCGATAAATTTTCGCCTAGGACGTCCCTTTCCGACTCTGCCATTCACTTCTGCAACATAAATTTTCTTTGTCACTCTTTCCTCATTCATTATTTCCACATGATCAAACCACCGCACCGCACACATTATTGTGCTCGCCGCGTAGGGTATTGTTTTGATTCTGATTGCTTAGTTTGAATTTGACTGCATGTGATGAGGATAGCAGTGCGGCCTAGCGAGTGTTCAGAGAAGAGTACATACATATAACATATAGAATCTTATCATTGTATCTGTAATTTGTCGGATTACAAGGTCTCTTTTGTAAAAAATTCTGGACTAGGAGGGTCTTAGGCAGCTCTATAATCCGACAAATTCGATAGTTTGACATTGCCCTGCAAAATATTTGTCAGATCACCGGGGATCCACTGTATAGACAAATATGTATAAATATATAAAATATTATATTTTGAAAGAATTCAGCATTGAGAAGTTTGGGATAATGCCAAAGTACCAATGACATATATTAGTATATTTAAGAGAATACTTAATAATTAATATATAAATGTTAGAGGTAAAAATTATATTTAAGATTACACTCCCACTTATCTACATACCACACCACAACACCCTGATCACATCTTGACCATTGTACAACAAATGGAGAAGAAAGGTTCTCAAATGGCATTTTCATACCACTAATAAAAGTGTATAGTAGACCCGTATAGATGAAGTGATGGTCTGATTAGGATGCAGTAGGTCGTTGAATGTTGGAGACTCAGGACGGTGCTTTGCGAGATTTCTTGAAGGAGGTCTATGCTATATTCAGCAGTGCACTTTTGAAGGGCTGCAATGATTGAGAATTTACAAATGGATCGGCTCAACCATAGAAAAGGACAACATAATGCTACTAAAGTAAGCTGCAGAGAACTGGAAACCCTTAGTTCGGGTAATGAGTTTCATCAAAGATTATCACAAGTCCACTGCTAAAACAAAGGCCACTGCAATGGATTATTTAATAAAGTAACAATCACAGTTTTTTTATGCTTGTGAGTTGATGAGAAATTCTTGTAAATTTTTATGATAAAATTTTAAACTTCTTACACTGCTACCGTAAAGTGGTGGTATAAGAAAATCCACTACCCCATATCGTAGGAGGCGACGAATTAAACCTGGTGGAGCCACGTGTTTAAGGCTGCCGAAAATCTAGTTCCCCGGTCGAACCTTAAACCTATTACGCGAGATATTAACTAAAGTGGACTGTATATGCGATTGCTTCTACGCTTACGTAAAAGCGACTACTATAGTATGCGGTACAATGCACTCTCTCTTCCCTAAACTAAAACTATTACTTGCCAAATCGATGAAAGGAATCCTGCTTGATTAGGAAAACACAAAGTTGGAGCGGGTTAAAACTATTATCAAGCAGGTATAATAATGGATATTGACTCACCGGGGTTCTTCTATCCTTTAGAGCACTATAGCGGCGACTTCCGGAACTTCTTCTGGACAGACACTCTGGGGCCCCAGGGGTGCGTCGGGAGAGAAGCGTTGTAGTTCAACGACGGCTGCGGCGGGAAGAAAGAGGCCGCGCATCGGTCGCGCGTGCCTTATATATTCTCGGCTCCGATGATTACGCGATGTTCTAGAATCATCTTCTTTCCCTTCCCACCCCACCACCCCGATGTGTCGATAGGAGGGTACGAATGATATCGTTTTGGAAAGGAATAACGATTCGGCAAGTCCTACAGTCATACAAAAAAAATACGAATGGTTTTCCGCGCAACAATCTCCCCCGCCCTTGAAGGATATCCTTCAAAAATAACTAAAACAACTAGAGCTAAGATCAACTAACAAATAACTAACTAACGCTAAGATTACCTAAATTCAACTACAATTTTAATCTAGAAAGCTAATTTAAATTATGGAAGAGGCAAGGGGCACAAACGGACAACAGGACGTAGGTAAGACCCAACCGTGGTCTTAACGCGAGCTATCCTAATTACTCCGTCGGAACCGGGAAAGACCTCTTCGACAATTCCTAACGGCCAGTGGAGAGGCGGCGTATTCTCTTTGGTGAGCACAACTACAGTTCCTACAGCTAAAGGCTCTGTCGCTGTGTTCCATTTTTGCCGAGACTGCAAAGTATGCAAGTATTCCATCCTCCATCGTTTCCAAAACGATTGGCACTAACCGATCTAATAATTTGTGGCGTGCGGAAATGCTAAGTCTGTTCTCATCCATATCCGCGGCGGGCAGATACCTTAGAGGCGTTAAATTCAAAAAATGTGCTGGAGTTAGAGCCAGCGGTTCCGAGGGGTCACTAGACAACGTCCGACAAAGTGGGCGGCTATTCATTACGCATTCAATTTGAGCGAGCACCGTACTTAGCTCTTCGAAGGACAGAATTTGATCTCCTATTACTCGGTGTAAGTGGCTCTTTAGACTCTTGATATTGGTCTCCCAATTGCCTCCAAAATGACTCGCGGCTGGGACGTTCAGAGACCACTCAATGCGGTTCTCGGCTAGAATGTGAGCGAACTCCGAATTATAATACTTGCTAGCTAAGAGCTCATGTAGTTCCGATAGAATACGTTTTGCACCGACGTAGTTCGTACCGTTATCAGAATATAATTTACTTACAGGGCCTCTACGGGATAGAAATCTTTTAAATGCACCCATAAAGCCTGCTGTGCTTAGATCACCAACGAGTTCTATATGCACCGCTCGAGTAGTTAGACATACGAAAATGCAGACGTAAGCCTTTGTGGATTTTATACCACGCCCGCGAGTGAGCGTGACCTTAAACGGACCAGCGAAATCAGACCCGGTGTGCGTGAAGGGCTTTACCGATTGTATCACTCTACGAGATCTAAGTTCCGCCATTTCCGGAAATGACGGCTTGGGGCGTGCCCGAAAGCAAGCTATACATCTGTGCGCCCGATTGCGTATTAAACTACGTGCAGAAAGAATCCAATAATTCTGACGCAAGATCGAAATCAATAAATCGGGGCCAGCGTGTGAGTTCAATTTATGATGGTAATCGACTAATAAGTTCATGATATGGTCTTTACGCGGTAAAACTATAGGGTGCCGTTGGTCGAAACTCAACCGCGAGTTGGACAAGCGTCCACCTACCCTTACAATCCCATCCTGTAAAAATGGCTTAAGGCATTGAAAGGCGCGACTACAAGCTCTATTCGATTGTAATCTTGTAATTTCTTCAGAGAAATGCGCACGTTGAAGTTCACGTAATACTAGCGACTCGGCATAGTTGTAATCAGACGCTAAGACATACGAACGTCGCGGTAAAAGCTTCGCGAATCGACAAACGTAAATTACGCTACGCAATAATTTCGACCAAGAGGACAAGCGGTTCGCCAAAGCAATGATTGGAGAAACCTCGCTCGAAACGTTCGTCACTAGAGCGTGTCTCTTCTCTTCCGGTGGTTGTGACACTGACGAAGGTTCGAAATCGTTTATTGGCCATTGCGATGGATCCAAGTGAACCCAAGAAGGTCCGTGGAACCAAAGCGGGTGGTCCATTATTTGCATCGGGGTGAGTCCCCGGGATAGACAATCGGCAGGGTTTTCCGTACCGGATACGTGATAAAAGTTCCGCGTTTCTAACTCGTCTTGGATCTTGGCCACTCGGTTCGCGACAAACGTATCCCAACGGTGGGGTGAAGAATGAACCCAGCATAAGGCGACGGTGGAGTCGGAAAAGGCAAATATCCTTTCTATGTGAACTCTATCCCTACATGCTCTGATAACTGCGGTAATAAGCTTGGTGAGTACTAATATTGCGCAAAGCTCTAAGCGCGCCAGAGAGACAACCTTACGGGGGGAGACTCTCGACTTAGAACTAATGAGGCTAATGGAATTTCTACCATTATTCTGAACGTGGAAATATACAACGCCCCCCGTAAGCCTTCTCGCTGGCGTCTGCAAACCCAACGACCGTTATGCTACTATTTCTATCGACGTTTTTATGACGCGGTATTTTAATTTCTCTTAGTAAAGGAAGTTCCTCTCTAAAGCGCTGCCACAATCGAACAATGCTGTCAGGCGGCGAGTCATCCCAATCGCATTCAAATAACTAAAGTTGTTTAATCAAAAGCTTAGCGTATAATACCACTGGAGCTACGAAACCCATGACATCCCATAATCTAGCAACGCATGACAGTATTGCGCGCTTTGTGCATTTCTCTACGGGCGGATTTACCTTAAGGCTGGCTAAACACGTCGGACTCTGGTGACCAACACAGACCGAGCACCTTGTGTGTATCGGAATCGTCGAATTCCTTTATCGCCGAAAGACGGTGTGATAGTGGGATTGTGTCTAAAACCGGACGCGAATTACTAGTCCACTTCACAAGATCGAATTGACCCGATTTCATGAGCTTTATAACCTCGGCGGTGGTTAGGGTGGCCTCCTCCACGCTATCGACCGAGTATACAAAATCATCCATATATAAACCGCTCTCAATTGCCCTCTTAGCTTTAGGGTAAGAGGGACCTTCATCATCAAACATCTCCTTTAAAGGGTAGCGCTACACTATATCTACCGTCGCGATCACGAACGGTCGTGCGGACGTAAATTTCCTCACATAACCTGTCATCTGAACTAGCTATGGGTGGGACGTTCACCTCCTCCATCTCCCAAAATTTGCGGACTAACTACTCGAGCGGTTCGACAGCCATACCACAATAAGAGGTTGCCGAAATACTATCTAGGATGGGGGCGGAGCCAAGGATCACATAGCCCAATACGGTTTCCAGTGCGTAAGGCGCGGTATGCGAAGAGTTGCCCATGACCTTATTGTTTAACAAAAGATGAGGGAAAAGCGATGCTCCAATGAGCATGTCTATGTTTCCAGGAACGGCGTAAGTGTCGTCCGCCAGAGTCAAATTTTTAAATTCAATCATTGCCGAGGTGTCAACCGAAACGGTTGGCAACCGTTCAGTGACCCTATCTACTACCAGTGCATTTATATCAAAGTTAACATTACGATCTATCCGAGAATAAAATTTTAAATTTATATATCCCTGTGTCCCTTTACTAGTACCTCCGATGCCTTTAACTACAGGACATGAAAGTGACCTATTTATTACTAAGCCTAAGCGCTGACAACATTGTCGCGTTATAAAGCTATTTTGGGCTCCGCTGTCCAGCAGTGCACGGACGCTTTGTTCGTTTCCACGCGAATCCCTAACCAAAATACGCGCCGTACCCAGTAACACGGTTGAAGGAGGTTGTGCTCCCATATTTGCCAATGAGCACAGAGCGACATCACCAGGTCGACCGCTAGAATCGTTGACCTTAGTAGGGGTGAATTCCTTGTCCGCTTTACTTGACGCCGCTATGTTGCTATTTTCAAAATGTAATAGCGTGTGATGTTTCCTGGCGCACTTGCTACATACGGAACTCGAATTGCATTTTGCAACTAAATGCTTATCACTTAAGCAGTTCAGACATAGGTTGTTTGTCTTTACTAATTTATAACGTTCGCTTGGTGAATATTTACGAAAAGTCGCACAATTATATAAATTACCGTGTTTATCTTTACATACGATACAAGTATGCTGAAGTGATGTTGACGTAGCAGTTACGTAAGTTAACGACCCTGCTATTTTAGATGGTTGAGTCTGTCTACGGTCGACGCACCTTTTAATCTCTTGTTTAACGTTCGGAGAGCGCTGCATCACCTTTATTTGATCTCGCACGAACGATGCTAATGAATGAAAGGAAGGCATCTCCGAGCTACGATGCTCCATTTCAAACGCACGCACGGTGTCGGGGTCTAATTTCTTTAGTGCAATATGGAGAAACACCACGTCCATAAGGTCATTAAATTTTAAATTCTTAAGTGCAGCCACCGATGCCACAAATTTATCTAGAAACTGCTCTAAGCCGTTGATGTTCGCGGATGATATAGGTTTAAGATCGAATATCTGGTTCAAATATTCGGAAGCTAACATTCTCCTATCTTCATATTTAGTTTTAAGCGTTTCAAATATTAATAAGTAATTGTTTGCTGTAGGTGTAAAACCCGAGCAGATCGACTGTGCTCTGCCACTAAGTTTACTAATTAAGTAATATAATTTTTCAGCGTCCGATAACGATGGGTTGTTGTGTATATTGTTTTGAAAACTACTGAAGAAGAAGGGCCACGTCTTAATATCACCATTGAATACCGGAATATCTATTGGCGGTAACCTAATTGAGTCACGAGGACGTACCTGTATTTCCGGCTTTGCTTCGCTTTGAGATTGTAGGAGTTTTGCAGTTCTTTTCATGCGACACAACATATCTTCGAATGCCAGCAGCGGTTGGTAGTTCACTATGTATTTCGGGTCGATTTGTAATTCCAAATGATTAATTTGGTCTAATATTCTTTCGTAATCTATCCGCAAAGAATCTATCGTTTCGATTTCATTCAAAAAGGTTTCCCGCACTGCTTCTATATTAATGTTCTTTATATAATCACTTATATTCTGCATACGCGAAAAGAGTATGTCCCTCTTGGCATAAAGCGTTTTAATTTTGATTTCACTTCCACTAACTGCCATTTTAAATTATTATAGTGAAGTTATATTAATCACAATTAATCTCACACGCATAAACGATGGACGATGGACACTCGGTATGCCGTATTACGTAATTAAATCGAACACCTGTTGCATCGAGGCGACGCGTCGTTTGCTACACTCAATAATTTTATCAGAATTGTGGGGTAAGCGTATCAAACGGTTGCTATCACACTGTTTCAATTTTAAAGCTTTAAATCCAAATACGAGCGCTATGAAATAAACAATTCTGTTTGCGAGTGCCTAATCAAATTTAAATTTAAACGAACACTATTTACACTATTTACGAACACTAATTATTCGACCAGAAAATGGTTGGATAACCACTAAACACCAATCCAGATCCTGCCCGAAGTGACCATAAAATGGTGGAGCCACGTGTTTAAGGCTGCCGAAAATCTAGTTCCCCGGTCGAACCTTAAACCTATTACGCGAGATATTAACTAAAGTGGACTGTATATGCGATTGCTTCTACGCTTACGTAAAAGCGACTACTATAGCATGCGGTACAATGCACTCGCTCTTCCCTAAACTAAAACTATTACTTGCCAAATCGATGAAAGGAATCCTGCTTGATTAGGAAAACACAAAGTTGGAGCGGGTTAAAACTATTATCAAGCAGGTATAATAATGGATATTGACTCACCGGGGTTCTTCTATCCTTTAGAGCACTATAGCGGCGACTTCCGGAACTTCTTCTGGACAGACACTCTGGGGCCCCAGGGGTGCGTCGGGAGAGAAGCGTTGTAGTTCAACGACGGCTGCGGCGGAAAGAAAGAGGCCGCGCATCGGTCGCGCGTGCCTTATATATCCTCGGCTCCGATGATTACGCGATGTTCTAGAATCATCTTCTTTCCCCTCCCACCCCACCACCCCGATGTGTCGATAGGAGGGTACGAATGATATCGTTTTGGAAAGGAATAACGATTCGGCAAGTCCTACCGTCATACAAAAAAAATGCGAATGGTTTTCCGCGCAACCAAAACCATTGTTTCTTCGATCCCATCAGATGGACAGTAGTGTCTTCCTAATAATGACTAAACATAAAAACCAACCCGCTTGCCAAGCGTGGCAACTAGCCCCCTCTAAAACAATCTATAGGGGAGGCCTATATCCATCAGTTAACTTCAATAGGCTGTACCACTAATCAGAAAGATGTTGCTGCCCATTTCCTGTTTCGGTTCTATCTGTCACCACTTAATCTACTGGACGATATAGGATAGTGGATTCTCTTTAGCTGCAACTATTTGGTAGAGCCACGCTGCAGTTATATTAGTTGTGGCACGAATGGGTCGGCTCGGTCGGGGTAGGACCATGCTCTCACAGAATACCAGCGTGATATTGCAGCTTAATGCTACTGTTTCTTATGGTGAGCGCAGAGAACCGGTGACTGATCTAGTATAAAGTACTAGAAATGGCATTCCATCTGACTTCAGGGATGACAACGCATCTGCATTTTGATTCTTAATTGAGGGTAGATGTAGATGTTTATCAGTCACATCTACTGCTTACCATCAGGTGGACAGTGTGCTTGTTTGTCACACTTATTCTATAAAAAAGTTATTAAAAACCAAAAAGCGTACATGTATTGATAGTTTTGAATTACCTTGTCCTCAGGTGCTACGTCCAACGGATCGTCTAACATCACTTTTGCCCACCATCGAAGAGCAGCACTACACTGTTGACGCCACAACGCCCACCAGAACCAGGTGAGATTAACATAATTAGGATCATAATAATGTTAATATAATAATTTATCAGGGGTAATTTCTGGATCTTGACAACAGCGCTACCTGCCGGGCCCTAATCTGTGAATCTAAACCATCCAGGGAAGGAATTAGGAGTAGTATTGGTTTATTTGTTATTCTCGCTGTGTAGTAGCAACTTAAGAGAATTCACTATTCAAATTAGACCTGATGATTGATAATTGATGAGATTATGACCCACTCGTATGGTGATCGGGTTAAAAAAATTCGATAGTTTCGATCATTTGGGTCGCAGCTCGTTTGTATACTTTGTATGACCGAATGAAGCATTCTGAACGGGTGCTATAATAGTAATAATACATACTACGATTTGTTTATTGGTTGAATTGTGTGTAAACGAAGGAGACAGAATATATTTTGTTTATTAAGTCGTTGTGTGATTGATTGCACGATTTGATCGATTATATGTGTGTAAAAATATGCAAAAAGAATTTGGTTTGTCTTGTCAGATCCATGATTCGATCACTCATGTAGAGGTTGCAATCGAATCAAAAAGATATATGAAATAGATACTTGGATATATCTATATATATATATATATATATATATATATATATATATATATATATATATATATTATCGTCGATATTTTTAATCGCGATATATCGATATTTATTTTAGAGTATTGAAATCGTGTCATTTGATATATATATTTTAAAATGTCATATTTATTTTATAATTAATTATACAAGACAAAAGCATTCATTTGTGTTTTTTGGTCCACATTCTATATGTATATCCTATATATCAATATTTGATACATATCGATACTGTTTAAAATTATCGATACGATAAATATTGATATATTTTTTTTACTTGCCAATCCCTAACATGATTACAAAATGAGGCAATTGTTGGGGGAGGCATATATCAGCAATGGACTTTCATAGACTGTAGTGACATTATATATTCTTGCCACACAGATCGGGCAGCGAAAGTAGCGAAAACGAGGAGACGTCAGATTGGCCGCGAAGTCCCGTCCTACCCGTGTACTGTAGCAACTGAGAGTCCCCGAGCCTCTGTGACCTTTCGAAGAACAGCACAAAGGCCTTCCGTGAATGTCGAAAAATACACTGAGTGATATTAGTGCATTATGTGTATATTGCCAATGTCTTTAATATGGACATATTTAACAACAAGACCGTTTTGTTTATCATCAATACAAAACTGTAGCTCTTAAAACAAGGGTGATTTTAAGTTTAGATGTACTTTTGACTGAACGCCATCGATTTATAATGACTTGTGGCAGGTTAGACAGACAAGTGTTTTAGTGGCACTATAAATATCTTTTGTGTATACTGAAGGATTTTATATTATTAATTTAACTCAGTCAAAGGGACACCTTTTTTGAAATCGTCTTAGTTTGAAATTAGCTGTATACAAATCTTCGATGTGCTCGCAAGGTTCCAGGTTCAATCTTAGCTTGTTACTTTCGATTGGTACCGTGGAGGATATACTATGACGGAAACAGCAATGAACTGATGAAGTGTATTTTGTTAAAAATAAGTACAGTTTCTAATGAACTTTAAAAAAAGCGTTAAAATTTGAATATTAAACTAATGTAGATTTATCTTTAGGGAAACAACAGGACATTGCCTCTTCCGTCTTCTCGGGTAAGATCAGTTGAGATCCCACTTTTGAATGAGTCAAAATTCCGTGATCCACTGAAACAGTGCTCCGCTCAAGTCGGGCTCAGTCTTTATCTTGGACCATATCTATTCGAAACATATTGTGATTGGACAAAATCTGTATAATGTGTCATGTTACTTCAGTTAATATTTGTATTTATCAATTCTTAAAGCAGCGATATATTTAAAAAAAAACCTAACAAAAATGATTAATTATTACAATAAATATAAGACTTTTCCATTAAATTAAATTCCTTTAGAATGTTCTGTATATTTATGAAATGTTAACATAGGTTGTCTGATTACAATTTTCTAACTGTTACCCGACCTCAAAAGAAATCTTTTGGAAAATGTATTAAAAATCACATGATAAAGTCAACAGTGCATTCTGTCAATAAGTACTAGTTGGAATTTTTTAATAGTATTGTAGTTTTTGTTTCGGGGGAAACGTTCCTTCCACGTCGGAATCTATCACGAGCATAGCTTTAATTGTATATTTTTAATAAGTCATTGTTGAAAAAGACGCGGGAACGAACGCTTCCCAATCAATAGCTTTTTACTGTGATGATTTTTATAAGCGAAGAAAATGTCGAAAAAAATTCCATATTATTATAGCATATAAGTTATGTAAGCTGAGACGACCGGATGAATGAATTTTTGTGTAAAACTAAAAAAAATGCCACCGATGATTAAAAAAATAAAGTACATAATTAACTTAGTATTAAAATGTGCGATAATTTATATATTTCACGACTAACTCTTTGATCTTTGAAACGACTAATTCTTTGACAGGGGTTTTGAAATTTCTATTTAAAATAAACAAAAAAATGTGGGAAATAATTTTTGTCACTTTATTTCATAGTTATCGTAATATTTGATACTTATTTCTAATTAATATCGTATCTAGGTATAAATGAATAAATGACAAAAAAAATATAAATCTTTAAAAAATCAGAAAAAAAACGATCTCAGGTATTTTTTCGTAGTGTTAACAAAAAATATCGAAATAAATCATTACAAAAAAAAATATTTTCCTTGTATTACGTGTGTAGTTTTAATGTAAATGTGTGTGTGAAAGAGACCAATTGCATTTCAGCGTTTACGCTAATGTGTAAATGATTATTATAATAATTGTAAATGGAGACAAATTAATTAGAAAATTATTTTACACGTGAAGGTCATGCGTGTGTATTTTAAAATGCTCTTCCGTACATGTGTGAAGGATAAATGTTAATATATATATATATATATATATATATATATATATATATATATATATATGTGTAGGAAATTGTCAATGGAAAGCATGTTACTGTAGAAATGAACGAGTTGATAGATTGACAACAGCATAACTGCAACAAGCCTCGATAGCAGCTGTGGCCTTTCCCTCAATAAGCCGTCAATGAAAAAAAAAAAACAATCTGTCAACTCGTCCGTCATTCAAGCAAAATAGTATGACGTGGCGCCATAGAAATAAAGAGCGAAAACTAATTAATGTAAAAAAAAACTTTCTTTTTTTATGTATCATCCAATCGCTTTATTATAACTATGCGCGTCACTTGGCTTGTGGAATCGAATTGTGAGTTTATCAATACACTAAACAACTTACATAACACCAAAACATGTGATGAAAAAGAGAGAAACTTAAGTCTCGAATGAGAATAAAACCAGTTGCAATTCTTATATTGTGTTTTATTTTTTTATTTTTCGACGAAAATGAAGAAAAATTCCCTTTTTTTTTTAAAAAAGTACTTCAAAATTAATTACATAGTTAAATGTTAGTTCTGACGTTTTATATATATTACGTTATTTTGCTTGCTATAATCATACGATCTAACATGGAAATCCAAGTACTTAGTTTTATCAAAACGTTAATATCAGGCGGATTAAAATTCTAAAAACCATTGATTCGACTCAGTATCCTATAAATTAACAGCTTTTTACTATATCATCATCAACATTATCATTACAGCCCTTCCCAAGTACACTGCAGAACTTAGGCCGCCCCCAGATTAGCACAGTCCTGAGCCACCTGCATCCATCGACTCCCTACATGTCTTACCAGGTCGTCGCTTCATCTAGTGGGGGTCGCCCTATACATTACGTCTACCGGTTCCAGGCTGTCACTCGAGAACCTTTTCTTCACATCGGTTGTCGGTTCATCGAGCTATGTTGCCACTTCAGCTTACAATCGTTAGACTATGTTGGTCACTCTGGTTCTACTGCGGATATCCTCATTTTTAAGTTTATCACGCAGTGAATGGATGCTGTGGCTCATAGACATCCACATTTATCCTGAACTACGGATTAAAAATGCAAATGCGTTGTCACCCCTGAGGACTAAGATGGAATGCTTGTCGTGTGAAATTGACTCCAGTAAAAAGGGTCTCCGGTTCTGTACTCTCGCCATACGAAACATAGCAGCATTACGCTGGTATTCCGTGAGAGCGTAGTCCTGCCCCGGTCTAATAAAAAAATATTCTAAAAAAGACTATCTATGCACACAACGAACGAATCGGACTCTTACGCTTTCGCTCACTCGTTTGATTCGTTCATGTGCAGCCAGCCCAAACTCGAGTTAAGGTCGCTGCATACGTGACGTTATATTCCGGACGGAGCGGGACGTGAAATTTTGGAAATATCGTTTCATAGAAAATGTATGTGATAATGCATACGTTACGGATGCAAGGACCGGACGGGGACGTGGCACGAACGGGACGGGAAAAACATCGTCGGTGACGATGTTTACCCCGTCCCGTCCGGCGCGTGCCACGTTCCGTCCGTGGTTCCGCTGCGTATGCACGTATTTGGACACAAAATATAAAAAACTTCTGTGGCGGAAAATTGAAGTCGAATTACGACTAACTGCAAACGGTTAATATAAATTTTATTTGTCATTTATAGTTTTCATTTCATTTACAATACATGAATAGATTAATAGGTGACAATGACAGTTGAACTTATTTGTGCTCAAATCAAAATAACCTGTATTTTAATTATATATATTATATAATTATTTTAACGACGTAAATAAAGTAGATTCATGTTTTACAATGTCGACATTTATTACATCACTAGAAGTAAATACAACAGAATTCAAGTAAATCTCTATAAAAAAGATATAATCAACTTATTGACAGAGTATTGGTTAAAATGTGTTTGTAGAGAGTTTATGGATAAGGGTGTTAGTATTCATTCATGCTAAAAATGCCAATCGATTATGAAAAAAGACTTTGTAGAGAAATAGCAATCAATGCCAATTCTTCAAACGAAAAATCTATCTTTCACAACACTAAACACGTTAGTTTCGAATCACTGTCACGGTGCGTATGTATTAAACTCCCGTCCGTGTTGACAAACAACCACGTCCCGTCCCCGTCCCGCGCACGTTATGATTCCGTCCTGTATGCAGCGACCTTTAGACAGATCCAACTCGAGCTACGCACAACTCGAGTTAACTCGAATTAGTAACTAGAGTTTTTTTTTATATATCTTTATTTACGAGAATATGGTTGTACCATGGTGTTTGAGTATAATTCGTTCTACATATTCTACCTTAGTGGTGTGCAAATATTAATGGTCAAGTAACCTAAACAACAGTACTTATCGAATTTAACAACATATATTAATTTAATAAAATATAAAATTATTTAATATTATTTACTTGATTTGATAATTAATTTATTATGCCACAGTATCAGAAAAAATATAAGTACCTAAGTATTATTATATCAAGTAAGATTATTATTATAGGTCAATGTCATATATTAATTATTATTCTTACGTCAATAATTATATAATGTTACATATCCAATTGTCATTAATTTCTTTCTATTTTTAAATCAAATTTATTAATTAATTAAATACATTTGTCAAATTTTATATAAAATAATATCAAAAACATAATTTTTTTAAACATTAGAATCTTGTAATTACGTAATTAATCATATTCTAAAATTATCATTTATTATTACTCGTATGTAGGTCGTTGTCGTTTAAGAACTCTTCTACAGAATAATAACATTTAGGGAGCAACAATGCCAAAACAGATTTCTTAAATGACAATAAACATGCAATAAACTTTTACGCTTTAAATTATCAGGTATTATAAATTCTAATCGACATAGCAGAAGCATTTCTTTTTTAACTTTTAGACGATTTGCTGGTGCATATAACCTATTCTTGTATCTACCCTTACTTTTACTCACATCACACTTACGTTGAAATAAATGTGGATGCTTATGAACAAACATGCACATTTCAAATATGTATAATGAAGGCAAAGGCAGGATCTTTTTACTTTTGAACAAAGGTTTGCAACTCACTAAAGGACCAACACCACAAAGAGCTCTTATGCAGCGTTTTTGTGCTTTAAAT